ACTTTGCCAAACTGATTATTGTAGCAAAATTATTGAAACAATCTGATTTACCTTGGATTTTTTAAAGCGAAATATAAATGCTAGATAAAGTGATCAGAAAAAAACAAACCCGTCTTTTCTCTTCCGAATAAAAATTAGTCCCAGTTCTCGCAGATGCATTAGAAAACCTTTTACCGGCTCTGACCAGGTTTCATCAATTCGAAATGCACGGCCGCTGCTGCTCTGCCGTTCTTTGTCACCGGAACCATGGTTGTTGCCGATATTTGAGCTTGTACTACCAACGCAAAGCGTTAACCTGACTTTACCATCGTATAGTGCGCTAACATGAAGTGATGCATCCAGTAATTGGTGATAAAAGCAAGAACAGAGGAATAACGGCAAGCAAGAGGGAGAAGACGGAAAAAGGGAATTATCATGAGGGAAGAAATGAGTAACGAGGAAAATAAATTATTCAAGGGCAGCATTGAACTCATATTAGAAAAACTTAAAACTTAAAGTTATTAGAAAAACTTAAAATTTGATAATATTAGAAAAACTGGTATTAGAAAAACTTAAAATTTAGTAGAAAAGATGAAAAGTCTGTTTTTTTTGATTCTTCCTAATTGATGTAGTGAAAAATCTGGCTAAAATGATCGGGAAGAACCAAAAAACAATTAAGCCTACGAATGTAACATCACAAAGACGGGGTGCCCACAATGATAATCGAAATAGTTATGATGTTCCCGGCGTTTAAACAAAATCAGGAATGGAGGCAGGTTAACCAAAAGCATCAAAACGAGTCAACTAAGTCAAAAAATGAGAAATAGTGGAAGAATCTAACCTAAGAAAGTGGTAAAATAAGGTAGTACAGTAACGAACCTGAGCAAAAACTCAATTTCAACAGTGATATCGTTGCCGGTTGCTTCTTGCATATGAAAATAATGCAAAAGATAGGTCCAAATTTGCTCTGTGCGACTTAACAAAAGAAACTGGAAACCAGCTGAGGTTATTTCAATATCACCACCATCTGAAAAAACGAACATTTCTTATCTAATTTAATACTTCTTTTTCACATCCTTCCTTTTTTTTCCTATTTTATCATCCTTTTTTATATTTTCCAATAGCATTCACACATTTTTCTTTCAATCTTAAATAGATTATCAGCTGAAGCTGTAACAATTATTCGAATCATTAATAATCAATTTTAGTACTGTTCATTCTCGACTTATAATGTCCAGTTGCGGTGCTGAATAGAAATGTATGCGACTTAATGCATTGAAACATTTTTTCCGGCTATTTTTCATCCCGCCCTTGAAATTTTTCCTATAAATTACCTAAATAATTACCGCTTCTCCTTTTGGCATTGTAAATCTGTCTAATAATTATTCCCATTTTTTATTGCATCTGGTTTTTTATGTCCAAAAAATCATTATTTTCATTAAATCAGCCTGTTAATGAATTCCTTTGAACTTGTACATGACCGAAGGCTTTATTTCAAAAATTTCAAGCATATATTTTTCGCCTCTTGGTTTTCCGTTACAAAACCTGTCCAGATTTTGACTAGTGCCCGAAATTCGAGAAATAAAAACGACATTAGAGTTAACTCACATTCTGGCCTCCAATAAGATCAGAAGAAACTTCGTTTTTAAAATTGAAAATTCCTAACTTTTGAAAATTCTTACTGCCAACTGAAGAGATTTTTTATGCGTTTTGTGCTGTGTAACAGCGTTACAAAACGCATATTGTCACGGGGTTGTCTGTGCGTATGTATGTTTGTGTGTATATATGTGTGTGTGTTTTCGTGTGTGTCTCACATTTAGTCCCGCACTTTCAACTCGGGAACCACAAAGCTAGGCGACTGAAATTTCGGTGTAGTGTTCCCCGCCAACGGGTGACGCAGCAAATTTAAATCCAGCCTTCCCTTACCCTCGGGTAACGCGTACGGCCCCGGGAAAGTTTTTTACGGGTAAATTAATATCTCAGGAACCACGGAG